CTACTACCCCAGCAGGTATGTCTGTGCAGGTGGGGCAGGAGGGCCACCAGGGTACTGTGGGGAGTAGGCGGGGACCCAAGGGGCTGAGGACAATTCTGGTTCTGCTAGTGGCCTTCCAGGCTGAGCGCCCCGGCTCGGAGCCCAGGCCAGAATGCCAGCTCAAATCACAGTGATACACGCGTGCACACATGCACACACAACACAGATAGAAAGCATACAGACATGAATATGCAGACATGCAGACCTACATGGACTCACGAACAGAACCACTCACAGACACTCTGAGGCACACACGTACCGGGAGACACACTCAGGTTAACACATAGTTGTGCAAAACCCATATGCACAAAGTGGTGGCACACCTATGGGCTGACGCGCCTACATGAAATTGCTTATCTCTTTTCCTTGGGCACCTGCCATGTACCAGCCCTGGCTGGAGGCTGGGTCAGGCCCACTCTCTGCCCTGGGGGGGGATTCCTGGTCAAGAGGCAGATGCCCCAAACCCTGTAATTGTCCCCCGATCATGGGAGAAGGTGTACCCAGGGCAGGAACCAGACCCAGAGCAGGAGGTGCTGACCATGATCTGGGGCTCAGCTGGTTGGAGAAGGCTTCTTGGGGGAGGAGCCACATGTGCTGAGCCTTGAAGGAGTCAGCAGCTGCAGAAGGTGGGGGTGAGGTCACTGTTGGCAGAGGGAACACTCTGTACAAAGGTGTGGAGAGCTGAGTGCATCCAAGTGATCAGAGTGGGTGAGTGATTGAGTAGATGAAACTGGAGGGGCCAGTTAGGAAGGGTCTTGAGTGCCCAGCTAAGGAGTCTGTGCTTCTCCCGAGGGTGATGGCAGCCCAGGGTGGGGAGAGGGGTTATGTTTTGTTGCTATTAAAAAGGGAAGCCTTTAAAAAATAGGCTTTTCTGGAGTATAGAAAAGCTATTTCTAAGCAGCTGATCATATCACCTACAAAGAATGACATTTTTTATTAGGTCCTTCCCAATATTTATACTCTTCTTATTCATTTTTCTTGCCTTATTGCCTTCGCTAGTTCTTCTAGGCAAATGTCGAATAGTGTGAGAACACACGCTTGTCTTCTTCCGTATTTCAGGAGAAGAGCCTTGCCTTGCAAGGAAGGGTTTTAAGGGAGGTTTACGTTTTGGCAAGACCCCCCCATTGCTCTGACGAGATGCGTTCCAAGGGGTCTAGGAAGGGGTACAGTTAGGACCTGTGATCAGGTGATGGGGGGTGGCAGGTGGGAGGTATGAGGGAGACACAGTCCTCTGCCCGAGGTGGCTACTTTGGAGCTTTGAAGGATGGGGTGACGGCCCAGGCCCAGGGTAGGTGGAGAGGCTGGGAGTGGGAAGGGCACCACGGGATACCTGGGAGGAGATGCTATAGGAGGGCAGGCCTAGGAAAAGGGGGTGGAAGCTGGGGCTGGGGATAGCAAGTGGTGGGGGAAGCCCAAACTTGACTTCTTGGTCACAGATAGGGTGGCCCCAGATGGGAGCTTCCAGTGACCATGTCTTCTGGATGGCATT